AACATATTATTAATTAAAATAAAAAAATATATCATTATTTTATTAAAAATAATTGAGGATATGTACATTATATAATATTAATTCATTAATTTAAAAAATAATTAACTAATAAAAAAATATTATTACTAAAAACAAATGAAGTAAAGGAAAAAAATAACATGCAAATGCGTGCAAGACCTGCAGGTGCAACGCCATGGAAGCCGATGACAAACGGCTATCAAGAAGTCATTAACTGTGTTTGTTAGATTTGACGGAAGTTAGTTTTTCCTCCAATTGAAACCTTATTTAAGAATTTTATGAAATTCAAGACCTTAATTGAGTGCAATTGAAGTTTGGCTCCAACATTGCAAATTTTGCATAAGTTTGGATCCTTATGTCATATTTATGCCGACAATTAACTACTAGACTCAAATAAGAAAAATATGGCTATAAAATTTATTTTAAAGACTTCCTTTATTTAATTTTAGTTGGCTTAATTTAATTTTTTAGACAATAATTTTATATGAAAAGTTAACAAAAAAAATAAATGATAGTTAATTTTTTTAATATATAATTCTTATTAAATAATTTTATTTGATTAAAAAAATTTCAATTGATTTGCCCATAAATGAATTGGGCCACTTATGAGCAGGACTATTTCTTACCACACTTATATTTGATGGTAGAAATGAGTATTTTATTAATTAAATTATAAAAATAAGATAGAATTAAGAAATTTATATATTTTTGTTATGGTGTATTGTGTTGTAATTATAGGTATTTTTTATTTTTTTTTGTTATCTAAAGATATTTAAAATATTAATTAAAGCTAATAAAAATATATGAAAAATTAATTAAAATTAACAAATTTACGACCTTAATTATATCGACGTGACTTGTTAACCATGTGGAGGAAAGGGCCATATAACAAGATTAACTCTCGAAGTCAAGTCAAGAAGTGCAGATTAACTCGAAGTCCACATCCCTTTTAAAGAAAAGGATAATTATACATACACTCAAAAAATCAATACACATCTCAACACTCAAAGTTTATAAACAGTAAAATTACAAATTTACTCTTCCTCATTTTAATCTTGGGTATTGAGATGGATGTTGATTTTTTGGATGTATGTATAATTGTCCGAAAGAAAAGTTTGCAGTGCTGCCTAAAGGATTCCCAACAACTTCCTGGTCCAACACTATAGCCTCCCCTGCACAATTCTTGAGTCCCTCTCCTACCCCCAGTTCATCCACAACTAGATCTAGCAAATAGGTCGGATTGAGTGGATTCAGATTTGGTCGTCTTGGATTTTAGATTTTTCGGATTAGATCATTTTGGATGTCAAATTAAAAGAGATAAACCCATAATTCACCCACACGGGTCTCAGATTAGGTCGGATGGATCCAACTTTTAAAAAATTAAATTTAAATTTAAACTTTTTCATACTTTTCTTTATTTTTTTAATAAAATTTAATACTAATTAACTATTTAGTTAAAAAACTTTATTAAACACTAATTTTCATTTCATGATTCAATTTTCATTCTAATTTCAAGAAAAGAAAATGGAAAGATTGCTAATTATATAGGTGAAACTAAAATATATATTAAATATATAATACATATATAATATTTAAAATTCATAATTTCATAAAAGCACTAATTTTCATTGAAAGAAAAGACATAAACTAACTTTCATTAAAAGAAAAGACATGAAATATTAGAATTCAGAAGACAAATTTAATATATATGTTAATATCTAGTGTTTATTTAATATTTATAAGGGTATTTTACAAAAAAAAAATATAGTTCCATTCAATATATACAAAAAAATATAACCCTATTCAATATTAAAGTTTAAAAGGCAAATTCAAAATATGTCTAAACAAATATAAGAAAAAATTGATTTAGGATTGATTTTTATTAACTAGAAACAAATTATTAATTAAGACCAATTAGTAATTTAGAATAAATTACCAATTAAGAACAAACCTTGATGCTTTTGATGTTTTGTCATATGCTTCTAATAGTGATGAGAATATCTCAACCACTGACTTTTGATTTTTAATAAGCATTCTTACTTTCTTTTTCTTTTTCTTTTTTTTAAGATTTTTTTGACAGTACCATATGATACAACTCATTATGTATCACATAATCTGATTTTTTATGCAAGTGTCACCAAAGAGAAGGATTAAAGAGCTTGAGATAAAGAAGCAGAGAGCAAGAGCGAAAAAGAGGAAAAGAGGAAAAGTTGAAAGAAAACGAAACTGACAGGAAGTTAGGATTTGTATATTTTATTTATTTTTACTTTTATAATTAAGAAATTAGAAATTTAAAATTTAAATTTTCATCTTAAATTTTTGTCTTCTTATCATTACTCATTTTTTTATTATACAATTTAAGAAAAAATAAAAAAAATTAGAGTTTGTAAATGAGGTGTAATTATTTAATTCAATTTATTTTCTGCTCCTCAAACGGTCTACCATATATATACATATATACTTTTTCTTATAGAATAATTTAAATTATATATATGAATATGAGGTCAGGTCACTACAAGACTGCCCCATATTATAAATTGTATATGGTCGATG